AAGGCTCTACCACAGGGGAGCTCTGGTGGCCTAGTGGCAAGATGCTGCAACTACAATCCCAGAGGTGCACGGTTCGAATCCACCAGATCCTCTGCCGGGGAAGGAGGGGCAATCTCATCCTGTACCAGTCAGATCTGATTTGACGATACATGCACACAAAATAATAAAACAAAAAAAAAATTAAAAAAAATAAATAAAATAAAAGGCTCTACCAGCCACCTCGTAGCTGTCTTGACTGAGAAATTGTACCCTGTTACCAGCTTCAATTATAACCATCTAACTACTTTAAGTAAACCCAATAATCGTGAATAAGATTCTGTCAAGTTTGTGTAACTGTTGTGATGGATTTCAGTCCCACTGGGGCTGTGGGATTAGAAATTAGCAGAAGGTATAAATTAGTAATAGTAGGTATGAGAAATTAGTAGAGCGTGATGGAAGGTAGTGGACGGCATGTCTTAGCTCTGGATAGTGGCGCAAAGACCCAGGTCCAGAAACTATGAGGAAGAGCTGACCCGGGCTCCTGTTGAAGGATTTGTGTCTTGTCTGTTCTAGGGACACCATCCATGGGAGACGGAGATTGCTGAAGAGGAGGGAGAACTTTTCAAGTGAAGATAAAGACCGAGCATTCCAGGGGCTGGGAACATCCCAAGAACTTAGGAAGATGGCAAAGGATCAGGTGAGTGTTGGTTTGTTTTATGTCCCTTTGTGTCCTGATAGTTTGGTAGAGGCGTTAGAAATGCATTCATCTGGAAACTGGGAAAGTAAAAGCTAGAGACACAATTTAGTGGTTCCATGAAGTGAAGCAGTTTGACTTCACCAGACTTGAAGAGAAAAGTGGGTAATCTCTCCTCATGTCATTTACAGTCTCTGACAACTGGTGGAAGGCTATGAGTTAATTCTGACTAAATGGCAACAGTGGTGTGAAATTGAGTCAGTTCTAACTTCGATATCTGTCAGTAGAATATGAGAAATATGTCAGGAGTGAGATTAATACTAAACTAACAACACAGCATAATATCTGCTTCGAGATTGTTAGAGCTCCCTTGTCTGTTCTAAAAATGTGTCTGGGCCCCAGCAACACTTTGAGGTAGAGACTATTAAGATCTCTGTGTTGCAGATATGAGAGGTTAGGTGATTGACTTCAGGTAATTTTACTAAGAAGCAGAGGAACCAGGATTCAAACCTTGATATTCAGAGGCAGGAGTTTATGTTCTTAATCTCTGGGCATACTGACCTTAGTTAAGAAGATCAAGCTCCTTCTTTACTTCACATCACAACATGCCTTAGACTTCAGTGTCTAGAACAAAGTGGAGAATTCACTTGTACGCTGAACAAAATGAATTCTTAGTGGGTGAGTATAGCCTTGGACCCATTGTATTTATGTGAACTCTTCTGCTTTACTAAGCCTCCCTTGATCTTGGTTCATAATATGTCTAATTATGACCAACGAATTGTGAACAGAACTACGATGTGTCATGTTTGATACAAAAGTAGGTAGGTGATCATGTCCTTTCTTGTGCTCCATTCCTCTCACCTGTTGGCTCGTTGGCAATCTTGAAAGGTATCCTAGAGAACATACCAAGGTTGAACCACAAGAGAAGAGTGGCCTATATCCCTGAATCACTGCTTGGAGAACAGTTGTCCAACAGAGCCATTTATTCAAGTAGAACTTGAGACGATTGAAAAATAAACTTACATTATTGTATTTAAAAAAATGTGTCTGGGCGAACTCTGGTGACCTACTGGCAAGAAGCTGCACTACAATCCCAGAGGTGCGCGGTTCAAATCCACCAGATGCTCTGCTGAAGAAGGAGGAATAATCGCCTCCTGTACCAGTTAGATCCGATTTGACAGTATACACCTAAATAATAATAATAATAATTTAAAAAAATGTGTCTGACCCTTTCACCATTTGCCTGTCTAAAGAGTTCTGTGACAAGGGAGAGAGTGTGCGTCCCAAAGTCCCAACTGAAGGCTGATTCCTGTGAGGTACAGGTTGGAATACCCATCGCTCCAACCTTGTTACCAATCTGACACCAGACATCCTTCTCTTGACCCTTCTCTGTTGATTCCTTGGGAAAAGGGCCTGAGAGATTTTTCTCATAAATCATGAGGCATTACCTTTGCCCTAGTCTTCAACCCTGGAGCGTATGTTAACTATCATCTGGGGTGATTGACATTTCTAGGGGAAGTCGGGAAGAATGTAATTTTTTTTTCTTTAAATCTTATTATTTTTGTGTGCGTGTACTGTCAAATCAGATCTGACTGGTACAGGAGGAGATTGCCCCTCCTTCCCCGGCAGAGCATCTGGTGGATTCGAACCGGGTGCCTCTGGGATTGTAGTTGCAGCTCCTTGCCACTAGGCCACCAGAGCTCCCCAGGAAGAATGTAATTTTATATTTTCCACCTGGCTGCAGCTGTGCCCTGCCCTGTAATCTCTATGCGTGTGGCAGATTATTCAGTAAATGATGAATATGAATTGTGGGCTACCCACACCTACTGTGCACATTAAAAGTGCTTAGGCCCACACAAAAAATAATAAAATAAAATTTAAAAAAATTCAAAATATACTTTTTTTAAAAAAGTTCTTAGGCCAAAGGAGATTTGTTCATTCATGGCTATGCCTTCAAACTGAGAAGTAGTTGGGTCCATATTACCGGTCAACTCCATAGAGGTTTGTAAGACAGAGAGACGTAAAAAAAGAAACAGAATTTCATACATAAATATTTATAATAAACCAATGCTGTATGAGGGAGGTTTGCATACAAACTGGATTTCACCCTGAAGCACTAAGGCAGTTTTTTTAGTTTTACAGAGGTCGGCACTAAGGCAACCCTTAAGAGTTTACAGGACATGGTGCTGAGTGAAATATCTCAGGCACAAAAGGACAAATACTGCATAGTGCCACTGTTGTAAAATGGGACAGACATTGAGGTTGGGAGAAATTTAATAAAAGAGGGGATAAATAATGTATACTACATTGAAACAGGGAGGCAAGGATTCTGAGGCTCCGTCTAACATACTTTGGACATGTTCTAAGGAGAGACTGGTCCTTGGAGAGGGACATCGTGCTTGGGAGGGTGGAGGGACAGCGCAGGAGGGGAAGGCCCTCTATGAGTTGGATTGATTCAGTGACTGGGGTAATCAGGATGTGAGTGTCAGAGACAGTGCGATTGGCACAGGACAGAGCAGAATTTATGGCTGTTGTACATAGGGTCGCTATGAATCGCAAGCGACTCAACGGCACATAACAACAACAGCACATTGGAACAGATGAGGGAGAGAACTGTTTAAAGGAATATAGGGTTAGGTATTATTTTCATGACAAGAGTTCCAAATAAGAGCTGTATAGTAACGTGGACTTAGGGAGGGGGGAGGATTGTATAACAAATGAAATAATTTTTTTTTCTTCAAGGAGAAGAGCAAACTTAGAGGAAGATTGGGTAGGGAGGAAAGTGTGCAGCAATGTATGAATTGAAACCCAATGTCTCTGTAAGCTTTGTTGTTGTTGTTATGTGCCATTGAGTCCCTTGTAACTCATAGCGACCCTATGTACAAGAGCCCTAAACGCCATTCTATCCTGTGCCAATCTCGCCGTCTCAAACACACTCATTCCTACCACTCCAGTCACAGAACGATCCATCTCATCGAGGGTCTTCCTCTCCTGCGCCGTCCCTCCCTTTCCCAATTATGATGTTCCTCTCCAAGGACCAGTCCCTCCTTGCAACATGCCCAAACTATGTCAGACGAAGCTTCAGAATCCTTGACTGCAAGGAGCATTCTGGCTTCACCCTCTCTAGGACAAACCTGTTTGTTCTCCTAGCAGTCCTTTGTGTATTCAACATTCTTCTCCAGCACCACAACTCAAAGGCACCAATTCTATCATCCCTATTCACTGTCCAACTCTCCGAAGCATAGCACGTAATTGCAGACTATAGCCTGGATCAGGTGCACCTTAGTCTCCAGCCTTACGTTGTTGTTCTTCACGACTCTTGAGAGGTCTTTAATTAAAATCAAAACCAAACAATTTACGTAATACTTGTATAGTATTTGCTAACCCCTCCCCCTGCTAGTCAAGCATAAGGTTTTCAATAGAAAAAGCTTAGCTTAATTTGCATAAAATTCTCTATGATTTGCTCCCTGGCAGATTTCAATAAAGGCCCAGGGAAGCTGGGTTTGGAGCATAAGTTGTTTGAATTGCTCACCCCCCTGCTTTACCTCTGCTTACTTATACATTCTTGGGGTTCTGTGTCATTATTAACACTTGATCCTCAGTCAACGACAGGAAGGAAGTAGAGAAAAAAGGAGGTGGGAACTCCCTCTAAGCGGTGACACCAGGACATATCTGTGGGTTCTGCAGCAGAAACAGTGACAACAGACCTGGAAGGGGCCCTGGAGAGAATTTTTGGCTCCAAACCCAGAAGAGGCCCGTGGCAGAGCAGGTGGTGACAACCAAAATCAGACTGTTCCTTAGTGAACCATTTGTGTTTAATGATGTGTCTGTGTTCTGTAAGTGCCGTGAAAGGAACAGCTGTGTGGGAATTGATAAAAGTGTGTGGTTGCAGGTAGATTCCATCCTTATCCCCTTAAATTAGACACATTCTGACAGTGCCTCTGTTACCTGATCAGCCAACTCTCATTTTACAACAGTGGGAGCTCACTTCGCTGTTGATACAGTTCTAATACGTGTTTGTGTTGTGTACATGTGCATTTGTTGTGTGTGTATAAATATGTTTCTAGCTTGTGAAGATTTTTTTTACTTCTGTACTTTAGAGTAAATCCCGATGTTATGAGCAGCTGAATTACGGAAAGTACAAATTCAAAATTATCCACGCAGGTTCTTCTGTTTTCTCTGAAATATCTGAATAAAAGCATGTTTGGTAGGTAGATGTAGCAGCCGACATTGAGGAAAAGAGCTGAACACAGCTTCCCTCACATTTCGTTGGTATCATCAGTTGGGAAGTATTTCATTAAACAGTGTCTTCTTATTCTTACAGGATGCACTGACATTTAGTGACGTGGCTGTGAACTTCACTTGGGGAGAATGGGAGCTTCTGGACCGTGCTCAGAAGGCCCTGTACCGGGACGTGATGCTGGAGAACTACAGAAACCTGGTGTCCATCGGTGAGGACCCCTCTCCTGGCATGGGCCTTTCCTCTCCCCGGTGCTGAAATCTATGGGATGTCTGTGGGGCTCTGAAGTCACCTGTTCTTAGTCTACTCCTGGCTGTACTTCTTTCTGTGCCTCACAGAAAAGTCTTTACTCTGTACCTTTGATAATTTTCTTCTGTTTTACTTTCTGTCATCTTCTTTTAATTATTACCAATCTAGTGTGTCTAAGATGCCTGTTTTCTCATGAACAGGTTATCGACATAGCAAACCTCTTGCACTCCCCAGCTTGGAACAAGGTGAACAACCACCGACTGTGTTCTCTGAACAGCACAGCGAAAGCTTTTCAGGTGAGTAAGGGAGTAGCAGTGGGAGGAGAAGGCTGTGCTCTTCTCATTGAAGTAAAAGAAGGTATTACGTGAGTGGCGGCGTCTGAGGATGAAACAAAGTGGTTTCACGTATCCTTTTCTCCTTTTTTCTTTCTCAGAGTTAAGAGAAATATATACTCTTACTTCTGAGATATTTGTTCATTCTGTATTTTTTTATTTTTCCCCTTTTTTTGTTTACATTTTTATTTTACTATTTGTGTGTGTGTGTGTACCATCAAATGAGATCTGACTGGTACAGGAGGAGATCGCCCCTCCTTCTCCAGCAGAGCATCTGGTGGATTTGAACTGCACACCTCTGGGATTGCAGTGCAGCTTCTTGCCACTGTTGTTGTTGTTAAGTGCCGTCGAGT